AGGAATTTACGTTATTCCAACTTGAGAGATCATGATTGACATGTAAGTAAAACTTTCATTCAAGTTCTCTCTGTTGATTGTGTTCAATGAATTCATTCTCAATTGAACACTCATATACTTATCTTAGTGTCTCCACACGAATGACTTGAGACCAGTCATCCTCATGATTAAGCATATATAGTGAATGATGGTCTTTGCGGATTATCAATACTCAGTTGATTGTCATATGACCACAAACTCTTTAGGATGTGGACATGGTACAGAAAGGTCTCCTGAACTTAACTTCTTTAAGTCACTTTCTATGTCTCACGATCCATGAACTTGTTGGTTAAGTAAATAACTAAGACTATTACTCAAAACAACATCATGCCCTTAATTAATTAAGTGGAAATATCCTTAGAGTTTACATCTCATGATTGGCTCTAAGGCATGCTTCTAACAAGCGCTCACACATATATGACACTTCACATTTCCCTCTCCGAATGACGTGGGATTGCTCACTAATCTTACCCATTCTCCCCTTGCGTCCTTCAGGTCAACTACAACATTGATCGTCATGTTAGGTCGATGCTAAGACTCAACTTATCTTAGACCTAAAAATCATCTAAGAGATAACCGCAAAATTTTGAATGATTAGAGGTCAACAGCTAATTGTTCGTAGTTGGTGTAATTTATATACGTGTGTTATAGGAAACGATTTATCATGCTTGTTGTTGAAAAGTTTGTGCTTTTAGACATTGGCGCCTCAGCAGTTATGTATATGAGACAAAATGACTTTGAGACAGACACGTTTCAATCAAGATGCTTAATACATATGTGATCAAGTTGAACAAGTGGTTTCGAAACTTGAGTCTGACATATGAAATAGATAATCAAAACGGTTTTTATTAGATCAAATGTCTTGAGTAAATCTCAATGAAATTGACACACCCATTAGATATAGATAAAGATATAGCCAAAAGACGTAACATCCAAAATGGATCTTGGTGATGGGAAAATGCACCATATAAGATCTACTAAGAAATTAGTATGATAGCAAAGTGAAACCCCTTATTTTCTTTTTATGCACAAGAGCTAAGCTATAATCAACCCCATCCTTATATACAAATAAGGATTGAGGGATCTTAACAAAGGAAAACGACGCTAGATAAGATCTACCAATAATACATCCCAAACACTGAGTGAAGCCTACTATAGTCAAGCCAGAATTGACACATCATTATATATCGCTGAGGGTGGACCCGAGAGTGGTAGGTAAAGTCCAGAACAAAACGCCAGATAAGATTTATCAAAACACCAAATACCATATGACATGTGCCCCTACTTTTATCAAATTGTCCTTCTGGAGTCCTCGGTTGTATCTATAAAACTGACCTAAGCTATTCGCTAGTATGTGTGCAAACTTGCCGTAAGTTAATTACTGTAGAGTGTTCTAGGGCATTTCTACCAATTAGGTATTTGCTTCCATTGAGAGAGAGAGAAAGAAAAAAAGAAAATGGTGAACTCATCAAATGCATCTGAAGGCCAAATGATGAACGAAGGAGGTATGATTATCAATAACCCTAAATTTTGATAATTTTTGTAATTATTTTTTACTTAATTTCGAGCTTTGATAGCGTTAATCGAGAGATTTCTCTTTAATGTATTTTCCTATGTAAATCATGATGAAGCATCTTGATCTTTTGCTTTTGATATTGTCTTAATTAAGGAAATGATTGAATATACATATATTGATGTGTTTGTATATTAGAAAATCAAAGGGAACATTTTTTCATTTCTTAAGCCCAAGGTATTTTTCATTTGATTTCTTTGCTTGTGCATGTTTTTCAAAAGCCCACAAATTGATAGGATGGACAGCCATGAGTTAGGACACAATCTACATGCCTACAAATTAATTTGAAAATGGTATAGTAAGTTTGACACACCCAATTTGTCTTATGGCACTCCAAATTGAGGATTTGTATAATTCTTATACATAGTGAGAGTGGGGTGTGCCAAAAGTTAATATGATAGTGTAAAGTTGAAAGGAAAATAAGATATGTAGTTTTTTTAGGGCCCGTTTGATAACCATTTCAATTTTAGTTTGTAGTTTTTATTTTTTGTGCAGAGTATAGAGGAAAAATAGGGAGAATGAGAGTGAAGATGAGATTGAGAGGGAAGATGAGAGCGGAGGAGGGAGGAAGAAGTAACAAAAGTGAAAACAAAACTAAAAACTAAAATCTATTTGAAATTGTTTTCACTTTTACTACTCTTCCCTCCCATCCTCTCCTCTTATCATCTCTCTCAATCTCATCTTCACTCTCATTTTCCTCTATATTCTACCATAAAAAATAAAAACTAAAATTGAATTGGTTATCAAACGGGCCCTTAATGAATAGTACTCTTTTTTTCTTTATACCATACCCAAAAAAAAATTATTATTATTTTATAATTTTCCCTTATTTTATTTTTCCAATGCTGGTTTATAAAGAAGTATATATATTATGTGATTTGTTGTACTTGATACATTGTATGTAGCCTTACTGTATCTACATTAGTACACATTAGCAGTTTATATGCAAACGAATATAACAGTCCATAAATATAGAAGGCACAAAAAGATGGAAATATTTTTTAGGTAATTATCTATCACATATTTTCATGTCAATAGTATAAACCGTCCATAGGCCATGGACCACCCAAGATTATATGACAAGTAATCAAAAGACTTAACCATTTTTTCCTTTTTCATTATTCCATTACTTGTTATACTTGTTACATTGCGTGTACAACGTGCCATACATGGAAGAGATTTTTTATTTTTAAGGTAATTATTTATCACCTTTTTTTTTTCTGCCAATTGTGTAAATTGTCAATTGTCTTTGAACCAACCTAACATGATGTGGCTAATGAAAACGTATAGACCTACATTTTTGTTGTATAAAAGGTATAGCACTACCTTCACTAACACACACACATTAGAAACTTTTCTATCACTTTCCTTCACTTTTCTAAGTTTTTTTCTTGAGCAAATTGAAGTCGGTATATAGCTCTTGTAAGAAAATGAAGGATGATGATGATGATGATCTTATTGACTATGATGTTTGGACTTGCTGAACTCCAGTGTGCAGTGGCGTGTCATCTCCCAACCGAGCTCAATCAACTCAACAAGCTATACCGCAGCCAATAGAAGCTCAAATTGTAGTTGGTCGCTTTGACCTAAATTCATTGCCTGAGGAACGAGATGACCAACTAATGGCGGTGGCTTTTTATCAAGATCAACCACCATCCGCAACGGGTCAAGATCAACCACCACCTGTGATTGATGAACATCAACCATCAACCGTGGTTGATCAACATCAGCCACCAGTTGTGGCAGATCAAGATCAACCAAGACCGAAACGCCATCGGGGAAGATTTAGAAACTCTGGTTCGAGACCAATCGAGGTTGAATGGCCTGACTGGTTGCCTTCTACGTGGAAGTTCATTGCCACAAAACGCAAACGTGGTAGGACTAAGAATATGATTGACAAGGTAATGAAACAAGTACTAGTACTCTTCTGATATTTTATAATCAATATATGTAATTGCTTTCATAAATGGACCAAAACTAACATTGGTCATGCCTTAACTTCTCTTGCAGCTGTATATAAGCCCGGAAGGACACCAGTTTCGGTCCAAGAAGCAAGTTCTCGATTGGATTAGAAGAAGTCATGTTGAAAATGATAACTTGTAATCAGAGGGTGTATAGCTTAGAAACAGACTATTTTCAGATTAATGCAGTGTTCATCTCCTGATCTGAGTTAACTCCTTAAGTTGGGATGTAATTGATTTCTTTTGTTGGTGCTTGCCTTCTAGCTTTTACTCAGACTGATCTTGTACCCTTGTATATTTTGTTGTTGAAATTGTACCCTTGTATCTTAGATTTTCTCTTTCAATTACATAACAAGGCTTTTCAATTTCTTTCCAGCAAACTTAATCTCAAGGTCAACTCCTGTGATTCTCACAGAAAAAATAAATATTTTCAATATGAATTCAAAGTGTGTGGCTATTAATACGGATGAAGAAAGCTTCTCACCTGTCTTAATGTACTTTGTGCTTGTGAGCAAAGTATCACAATTATTTTTCTATTTACCAGAATTTTTACACTGAGTCACTGAGTACAGATGGTCATGCAAGTAGTGATACGGTGATGTGGATGGTGAGAGTGGTGCGCTTAGATCTAGACTTCTTCAAAGCAATTGTGGCTGAAGAAAGAACAAATCACGGCCATAGGTTCTCCTACCTCAGGAACGAGACCTTCTGGGTGTTAATCATAACAAAAACAAATTCGGCGAATAAATTAGGAGGCTCTCATAGAGTCATGGTGGTGCTCTCACAGAGTTATGGTGGTCAAAATGGTGCTCCAAGAATCTTGCCAGAGAAACAAGAACTGGGGTGATATACTAAATGAGCGGATAAAATTGGATGATGCACATGTTCTTCGAAGAACAAAGATTGGTGATATCACTACTTGAAAGGCCTAAGAAAAATACATGAAAAATTTCAAGGAATGCTTTGGCAGCATGTTGGGTAGGTTTGTTTTTGAGTTCAGTGTTGTGTCTTTGTGAATGAAGTTTTCTCTATTTATAGGGAATGGTTGCCGCCCTAGAAAGAACCCCACCACTTCACAAGGAAAAACTCATGTGACTTGAAGACTTGGTCCAATGAGAATGAGTGGTGGTTGTCTAGGGAAGTGGAATAGACACAGAGAGACATGCCTAGGGAAGAGGAATAGACACACATAGGCATGCCTAATGATAAGAACAACAAAAAAGGCTCCTCCTGCAGCCTTCTTTTCTTCATCAAAATTATTTTTATAATAAAAAACTAATGGATTGTCACAATCGTACAACAAATATATAATGTAAGTGCCTTATCAGTCGATTGACCAAAAAGAAAAATTAATTTGTCAGTCCCCAAAAAAAAAAACCAAGAGCCCTGATTTTCAATTTTAGCTATTAATCACGGTTAAAGAGAAGATGGGCAGAAAATTCTTCGTCAGTGGCAACTGGAAATGCGTATGTCTGTTATTTTATGATTCCTACTGTTGGATTTGATTCTGTGATTAAGCTGTAATTTTTGGTTTATTTTTTCCTTTTTTCTTTTGTTGCAGAATGGAACAACTGCAGAGGTGAAGAAGATTGTCACCACTTTGAATGAAGCTGAAGTCCCTTCAGAAGATATTGTGGGTAAGTTTTTGACTTTAATTTGTTCTTATAATCATTTACATTTCTTCACATAAAGTAATTGTACTTTCTTAACAAGGGATAGCTTTTTTAGTTGTATACTATATATTGTTGTTTTTTAAGCTCATGGTGTTGTGCAAGTATTTCAATGTTTGATTTAGTTGTGCTTTCCTTTTATTGCAGAGGTTGTTGAGAGCCCTCCATTTGTGTTTCTTGCTTTTGTGAAAAGTTTATTGCGGTCTGATTTCCATGTTGCGGCACAGAACTGTTGGGTTCGCAAAGGTGGTGCTTTTACGGAGAGGTTAGGTATGTTTGTATTAAACTGCTAGGCATGAAGTTTAGCGAACGAGTAATTGTTCACAAAATGACCAGTTTCTTGTTTGCTCAGTGCGGAGATGCTGGTAAATTTGGGCATTCCGTGGGTCATTGTTGGTCATTCTGAAAGAAGACTTATTCTAAATGAGTCCACGCAGTTTGTTGGTGACAAGGTTGCTTATGCACTTTCTCAAGGCTTAAAAGTTATTGCTTGTGTTAGGGAGACTCTTGAGCAACGAGAATCAGGATCGACAGTGGCTGTTGTTGCTGCACAAACAAAAGCAATCGCAAGTACTTGTTTGACACTGACAAAGCAAGATTCTCATATGTTCTTTGTTTTAGTAGTAGTTTATTTTTTATTTTTTGGTGATGTGCCCAGGCATTCGTTTTGTGATGATTTGGTTCTAGGATCTCTAGTTTATACTTCTGTCTGGGTTTAAAGTTTGAAGGATTTACATTGTCTGAATTTTCCTTTTTCGCTTTTTCCTGATTGGTATGTGTACTAGCTGACTCCTGACTAACCCTTTCTTTTCTTTCAGAATGAGTATCAAGCTGGGAGAACATTGTTTTGGCTTAGGAACCAATTTGGGCAATTGGAACTCGGAAGGTTGCAAGCCCTGCTCAGACTCAGGAAGTGTGGGATGGGTGAAGCATTGTTATGTCTTATATGGTTTCTTGTTTCAATGAAAGTTATCTTGTTTGTTCTTGCGAGTAAGCTGTAGCCTGGTTCTTGTGCAGTTATTTTTTTCTGAATAGTTACGACTTGTAGGAAAGTGAATTCGAACTTGGGACTTCCTCTTTAGAAGAGATGTGTGACACTTGTGCTTAAATTTGAAATTTATAGTAAACGTATATGCATAGAGCAATCTTACAATTGAGAAAGTGACCGCTATAACATTGTCCCCTTTCCTAAGCTCAGTTAAATAGTTATTTCATGCGCCTTTCATTCTTCTATAAGGTGATAAATGGTCTTTTTTTCTTTCTACCTTATCTCAGTTACCTGTCTAGTTTCCCTTCAACTTCGGTCACTGATTCTTTTATGCTCATTTTTCTTTGATTAGCCGGAGTTCATCAAGTCAGCTACAGTAGTGAAGAAGAATGTCCGCCGTTGGAAACAAAGTTGGATTTAATATGCAACATTTATATACTTCTTTGAGCTATGAGAAGTGATTGGAATAGTCATCGCCAGAACGCGGAGGACATTCAACAATTGATGTAGTAGAAACTGCACTTGCATATTAATAGTTGACAGTCATTCACGCCCAGGTTCATGGGCAACTATACCTAGCATATTTCTTCATTTAGATGTAGCTTGTTGAGCCATAATGTAATAATATACTGTTGCCAGCAAGGTCTTAAATATCGATAGTTTTGGAAATATCGGTGGTTCAAAAACACGGAAATATCAATGGAAATATCGGGAAAATATCGATATCGATAAAAATTGGATAAAAACCACAGAAATTGTGATAAATACATGGAAATTTTTAATGAAACTTTAGAAGAAGTTTATTTAGTCAATCATCTATTATTTTGACACAAAAAATTGGAAGGAAATGCATTGCATAGTGGTTTGAGTGATTTAAGTTGATTATATTGCGAGCTAACAAACTCTGTAACTTAGAAATTAATATGTAGTAATTAATGAAGAGAATTAAACACCCCATAGTAATTTATTTATAATTTTTTAGTACAATATTTTACACTTATAAATTGCATGGTAAAATACATGTGTAACCTTATTTCACATTATTCATTGGACATGGTACACGTTCTTATATTTATTATTTATCAAAAATTGAAAAATAATTAAACCAACTTGACTTTTCATGAAAATTAGGCACTTTACCATACTTAAAAAATAATAGTGAAGATTGAAAATTAACTAAGAACATAAATAAATTTATCAAAGGAAGAATTAAGTAGTAAACAAAGAAAATAATTATAGAGATTTAAGTAATTAAGCAACAATTTGAAGGGGAATTTAGTAATATAAGTACTTATAATGAATAATAAAATAATCAATAACATTAAATGGATTAAATAGAAAAGAAATAAATTATATTAAGTAATTAAGTAACTGATCAACAATATAAAACAATAAGTAATTATGTTAATTTCTATTTTGAGAAACAGCTTGCATGTATTATAAAATATAAATACATATTCTATAGCTTATTATCACAAAGTGAATGCCAGTGTGGTGGTTAAAGTGGCTATATGTTTCGGAATTGAGAGGGATTCGAATCCCCCTATGCCCGCATAAATATCAATTTTTCATACTGTGGTTGCCAGTATGCCACTCAAAAGAAAATTTAAAAAATATAGGCTACCATACAAAATATTAATATTAAAGGGTCTGATGCTCGACAATCAAACCCTACTCTCATCATTTTCAAGATCATCTTTAACCAACATAATATTCCTTCTGCGGGTGAGCTTTCTTTTTTAGGTTTTTTAGGTTTTAGACATAAAAAAAATTTCACTTTTGGAAAAAGCCAAAACTTTTTCAAAAAAGACAAAAAAACCACTCAACTTTCAAATTAAGACATGCAAATGTATTGGATTCCTTAGGAAATCTAAAAATAAATAAGGGCATTTTTGTCCATTTTTGCTTCTTTTAAAATTTTTCTCTCTCCTTTTGCTTTTTCCAAAATGTCCCTTCTTTTTTTGGGTTAGATTAAACTTTTTATGACTCTTCTTCTATGCCTTTTATTCCAAATCCCCTTTCCGGATTGAACTCCAAAGTAATTAAAATAGAGTAGCTCAAAGTTGGAAGGAAATCGAGCAATAAAGGAAAATTCCAATTAAATGTCAATTATGGTGCTAGGAAAGGGGTGCATTTTTGCTCATCACCTTAACTCTAGGTGTACCCTCACCACCCCTCCTAAAAGTTGACACATGTCCATGGATTTAACTATGGTTACAAAAACCATATTTACAGATCAAGCTCAATCAATTGCTGCTGCAATCATCGAAGTATTTCCTAATTGCCATCACCGACTTTGCTTGTGGCATATATATCAGAATGCTGCAAAGAACTTGGGTCATGTTTTTTTTTCTGAATTTCAAGCATTCGCAAAAGATTTTAAAAGTTGTGTATATGATCCAGAGATTGTTGAAGAATTTGAATCAAGTTGGGAAGCTTTACTTGATGATTATGGATTGAGAGGAAATAGTTGGCTAGAAGGAATATACGCATTGCGTGAGAAATGGGCACAAGTTTATGGGCGAGACCACTTTTGTGCAGGTATAAAAACATAGAAATCCTATTCTTTTAAGTTTTTATTTTGTGAAATATGATTAATTCATGTTAAATTTTTTTCTAGGTATGACAACAACACAAAGAAGTGAAAGCATAAACGCATTTTTGAAAAAGTTTTTTTCTCAAAACATGGTCTCATAATTGGCAATAGGGTTAGCAACGTGGGTCTTAAGGTATTGGGGTTGTGCGTTCACATGAAAAAAGTGCAGGAAAAGCATCGTTATGAGCCGTGAAAAGTGGAAAGTTTATTTGGGTAGTTGTTAATTAATTTAGAAAAGTGGAAAGTTTGCTAGGTTAATAAGGGTAAATCAGGAAAAATCTTATTGAAGTATTGTTTCTCTCTCATAATAATGTTATCAAATAAATAAAAAATAAAAAATAAACCATAGTTAAACCCATGGACATGTGTCAACTTTTAGGAGGGGTGGTGATGATACACCTAGAGTTAAGGTGGTGAGCAAAAATGCACCCCTAGGAAAGAAGAAAGGCATATTGTTGGGATTTTCTAATTGATTGAGGAAGTTTGAAGCAATTATTTGTCTGTCAAGATTTGTATTTAATTTTATATTTTATTTTATATTTTGAAGAATAAGTTATTTATTATGATATTATTTTCCTAATATGATTTTAGCTATGATTTTTATTATTTTCTTGTTAGTTAAGTTTATGAATATTCTAGAACCTAGGTTTCCTACGGTTTTAGGGTTTCTTTGTTTTTTATTTAAGGCAAAACTCATGGTGTTGTATTTGGCAGTTTATCATCTTATTTTCAATTAATATTTTTTAGGTTTACTCAATTTCTCTAATGGATTCCAATTTGTTGGTGGATTCCAACATTGTTACTTGTAAGCCTCGTTTGGTTCATAGGAAAGGAGACTTTGGGAATGGGAATTCAATTGCTTTCCCATGTTTGGTAAGTCTAGGCATGAAAAATTGTTACCTGGCACATGGGAAAGTAGGGGGGAAAGTGAAGCCCTCCTATTAACTTGAGTTTTGTTTTCCCTTCTCATGAGAAAGTTTGGGAAAATAAGCCAACATTCAATGCACAATTTTCATGACTATTTTGTCCTTATGAACAATTTAGAATTACAACGTATCATTAAATGCATTCTTTTTTTATTTGATTTAATATGGGTATAATTGGAAAATTATACAAACTTTGTTTTCCATTTATACTCAAAACAAACATGGGAAAGGAAACAAAGTGAAATCTCTTGGTTACTTTCCCGACATTACCAAACGTGGGAAAGGAATCTTTCATTCCCATTCCTTGGGAAAATGACATGGGAAGTGATTACCCCTCAAATCCATTCCGTGAACCAAACGGGTAGGGTTGTCATTCGATCTCTTTATCCTTTATATATGGCTGAGTGAGTCGAGATTGAGCCTTTATGCTAAATCTTTAATAGTTTTCAATAAATAAACACAATATAATATAAGTTACAAAAGTAGAGAATGCACACATGATTAGGTAGACCAATGTGCTATATGTAGATCCAATCACACTGCCCCAATTATCAAACAAAGCAAAGAACATATCACTAAGCAGAGAAGACTACAAGTACTCATTTTAAGCCCAAAAAAATTGTCGACAATTGCACTTGGATTGGAAATAATGAGTGTAGTTCAATTAGGAAGTGGTGTAGGCCAACGTTTGAGAGAAAGCGAGAAGGCATTTGCCCAAGGATGGAACTCACCACCAATTACAACTGTTGGCCTGATTCTCTCTCTCGTGAACGAAGTTCTTGTACGAAAGTTGCATGCTACAATATCTCTACTAAAATTTACATACAAAATATCCTCGTCGTTTGGGTCAAAAGCTCGTGCCCTATTCGCACCACCCTCCTGCCTCTGCCTGCCATTTAGCAATGTCTGGATTTTCCGCAACCATTTCGTTCAAGTTAAGCTTTTTTATCAAACACCATTTCATCAATCTGCCAGCAATTCCATCCGCCTTCTGATCATCTTCTTCTTCGACTTATTTCAACTCCCAAACACACAAAATGCCACTTTCGTAGGGATCCTCCATTTCATAATGGCACATCCGCAGACGCCCCTGGCACACACCTAGGCACTCAAAACTTTTATAATGTTGTATTCGGGCTTATGAAATTGAACGAAATGACATAATTCATTGTTGACGACAATGTCACCAGTAGTAGCACCGGTTGAAATACTGTTGTTTGTGTTGTTGAACGGATCCACCCCAATAAGAATGCCACCATAACACAACCAGTACAACATTCCATTGTAAGTAATGCCTGGAGTACAAGCACATAAAGTAAAATTAAATTCTCAGGAGCTCGATATAA